AAAATTGGGATTGGAACTCGGGTTTAGGGCTGGAATTCCAAGGTGGGAGAGCCTGGAATTCCCTAGGAATTCCTTGGGGGTTATTGGGAGTTTTCCCAGGAAAATTGGGATTGGAACTCGGGTTTAGGGCTGGAATTCCAAGGTGGGAGAGCCTGGAATTCCCTAGGAATTCCTTGGGGGTTATTGGGAGTTTTCCCAGGGAAAACTGGGATTGGAACTGAGATTTAAGGCTGGAATTCCAAGCCTGGAATTGACCAGGAATTCCTTGGGGGTTATTGGGAGTTTTCCCAGGAAAAATTGGGATTGGAATTTAGATTTGGGATTTGAATTCCAAGGTGAGAGTTTTCCCAGGAAAACTGGGATTAAAATTTAAATTTAGGGCTGGAATTCCAAGGTGGGAAAGCCTGGAATTGGCCGGGAATTCCCTGCTGGTTATTTGGGAGTTTTCCCAGGAAAAATTGGGATTGAAACTCAGATTTAGGGCTGGAATTTTGAGCCGAGTTTTCCCAGGGAAAATTGGGTTTGGAACTGAGATTAAAGGCTGGAATTCCAAGCCTGGAATTGGCCGGGAATTCCTTGGGGGTTATTGGGAATTTTCCCAGGAAAATCGGTATTGGAATTTAGATTTGGGGTTGGAATTCCAAGCCTGGAATTGGCCAGGAATTCCTTGGGGGTTATTTGGGAGTTTTCTCAGGAAAAATTGACCTGGAACTCAGATTTAGGGCTGGAATTTTGAGCCGAGTTTTCCCAGGGAAAATTGGGATTGGAATTTAGATTTAGGGCTGAAATTCCAAGCCTGGAATTGGCCGGGAATTCCTTGGGGGTATTTGGAGTTTTCCCAGGGAAAATTGGGGTTGGAACTGAGATTTGGGATTGGAATTCCAAGGTGGGAGAGCCTGGAATTCCCCAGGAATTCCTTGGGGGTTATTGGGAGTTTTCCCAGGGAAAAATTGGGACTGAAACTCAGATTTAGGGCTGGAATTTTGAGCCGAGTTTTCCCAGGGAAAATTGGGATTGGAATTTAGATTTGGGATTTGAATTCCAAGGTGAGAGTTTCCCCAGGAAAACTGGGATTGGAATTTAAATTTAGGGCTGGAATTCCAAGGTGGGAGAGCCTGGAATTGGTCAGGAATTCCATGGGGGTATTTGGAGTTTTCCCAGGGAAAATTGGGATTGGAATTTAGATTTCGGGCTGGAATTCCAAGCCTGGAATTGTCCAGGAATTCCCTGACAGTTTTTTTTTTCAGAGCGGATTTTTCCGCTTTTTCCCGCCGCAATTTTTCGGGAATCCACTCCCGGTGGCAGGTGGGGAATTCCCAATTTTCCCGCGGCCTTTTTTTTTTTGGAATGTTCCCCCTTTGGAATTGCAGTACCTGGAGCGGAAGCTGCAGGAGACGAGCGGGATTTTCCACCTGAACAAGGCGAAGCTGGAATACAACCTGGAAGTTCTCCGGCAGCAGGACCTGGAAAATTCCGCGCTCCGATCCCTCCAGAAAAGACGGATCACCCGGTAAATCCGCCGGGAATCCCCTTCCCAGGGGGGAAAAAATTCCTCATTCCCGGGATTCCCGGATTTTTTTGGACTCCTTGGACAGGCTCCAGGGGGCGCTGAGCAACTTGAATTCCCGGCTGGAAAAGAAGGAGAGGAAATTCCGGGAGGAGAAGCAGAGCTTGGAATGCGACCGGGAGCGGCTCCAGG